GGTTTATGTGGATTAGGATCTCGGGCCGGAGCGTTACAATTATATCCAATGGTGCAAAAAAAAATTTAAACATAAAGTTATTGTTAAAAGGTTTATGTGGATCAGGATTCCGGGCCTGGAGCGTTACAATTATATCCAATTGTTTTTTCATATGAAAATAATGGTGCAAATTTTTTTTTAATATAAAGTTATTGTTAAAAGGTTTATGTGGATCAGGATTCCAGCCCTGAGCGTTACAATTATATCCAATTGTTTTTCCATATGAAAAAATGGTGCAAAATTTCAACATAAAGTTATTGTTAAAAGGTTTATGTGGATCATGCACAGCAAAAAAACAAACTGAGTTAGAAATCTGATATATTTTATAAATTTAAATTGTTGATATCATTTATATTTAGTATCTAATTAATATTAATATAAAATAACTAGTAGTGATATAGTAATTAATCAACATTATTGATAATATTAGTATATTAATCAATAAATTGCAATGGTAAACTAGAATTTAACATTTGAAATACCACTAAAAATAATAGTTGWTATACCATTAAAAATTAAACATTTGATATACCTTTTATTTAGTATATCAGTTGCAAATATATTTAGTTATTGTAAATTAGAGGTGCATCATATATATATATAATTAGAGGTATAATAAATACATCTGATGATGTATATCATGGGTACATCTGATAATGTATATCAGGATTATCAGGTGGTACATCGATGTATATCAGAAATACATCCCTATCGTCGGATATATATTGGGTGCATATCAGATACAGATGTACATTGGATTTATATCAGATATACATATAGTTGAATTTATATCATATATCGTAAGGGTAAAATCGAAATAATAAAAATTCCGAAAATAAAAATTCAAGTATTTTGCTATATTTGAAATTTTGAAAAGTTAGTGACATTTTTTGAAATATATGAATTATTTTTGCTACCAACTACAATTACCATTATAAATATTGTATAATAGATTTCTAAATTTTAAAAAGTTTCTTCATTAAATTTATGTCCAAATTTAACTATGCTCGCTTTGGCATAAGTCAAAAATCTATTACATGAAATATTGAAAATTTTTAGAGTTTACCTATTAGTCGTGTAACATCAAAATTTTTTACATAAATGTTTATGGGAAACTATCTCTCTGATTTCCAATTCCTTGGATATGCATTTTTTTTTAAATTAAGTTTGTAAATATTATTTTAACCATTTATTTCCTTGTTTTTTCCCATTAAAAAGGTTCTTAAAATTTAAACAAAATTTTGAAAACTAAAAATAATTGTTTTATTTGTTTTTGAAATTTGGCCAAAAATTCAAAAGTTTGTGAATAATTATGGAAAAGTATCGATTTATCGAACACTTTTTTAAATTGAGATTTATGAAATACAACTTTTAAAATAAAATTTAAAGATAAAATCTGCAATCCATCGGAATTCGAGTGGGGGAAGGAATTGTTAATTGAGAGTCGTAATTGGTAGAGGATTTGTAATTGGATTCTTATTTAATGGTTTGTTTTTTCTTCTTTCTTTTACTTTTCCCTCTCCCTCTCCGTTCCTCACACAATCTTCTCCCCCTTTGAACTAAGACATGGCCGATTGGACCGATCTTCCTACTGATCTCCTACTCCAAGTTGCACATTATTTAGATGCGTACACCGATTACGTTCGATTTCGAGCAGTTCGTCGATCGTGGGGGCGCGTTTTGCCGAGGCAACCCCGACACTCGTACTACAACATCCCATGCCTCATGATTCCCTACCATCCTCACAATGACAACCTTCGAGGTTTCTACAATGTTTTAAACCAACAAGTTTACTACTTGGAGTTGCCTCAACTTACCAATCAAAAATACATTGGCTCTTCCAAAGGTTGGTTAGTGACTTTGGACAATGGTTTGACATTGCAACTCTTGAATCCTCTTACCAAGTCTCAACTCCAACTCCCTCCCATATCTTCATTTCCTGGCATCATAGGGTATGACCCTAATAATCAAGGAGAAGAGTATACTCTTCTTCGTCCTATGGATAAGATCAATACCAAAAGTCGAGCTCGTGTCCATGGTGAATATATAAGGAAAATTGTTTTGTCCTCTCTCGCCCCTTCAAATGATTTTATGGCTGTCGCCATATATGATTCATCCGACAAGTTGGCTTTTACGAAGTTTGGCGATGATAAATGGACTGCAATTTCTACATCATTGAATAATTTTCATGATTGCATATATTTTGACGGAAAAATTTATGCAGTAAATGTTCTTGGAGACCTAGGGGTTTGTTCCATCGACGGCACTCCGACCCAGCTAGTAAATTTGCCCTTAAAACGACCTAAGTTGGAGGTGACATCTAAGTTGTATTTGGTTGAAACAAATGGTGATATGTTGATGGTTGAAAGGCTTTCAAAGTACATGGCTCTTTTTAATAGAGGTCGGAGATGCTACGGTTACAAGACAATTGGATTCAATTTATTCAAGTTTGATTCCGAGGGATGGCTCAAGATTGAGAACTTGGATGGTTGTACTATTTTTTTGGGGTTAAATACTTCCATCTGTATCTCATCCAAAAGTTGTCCCAAGTTAAGAGGTAATCATATTTATTATACATTTGATCACGAAAAGGAACCAGCTCAAGTTATAGGTTCCCATGCTTGCTACGATTTTGGTGTTTTTGACATGACAGATAGAAGTCGTCGATGTTTATGGCATGATGATCCTTCAGATCCATTTGTTTGGCCTCATCCAATATGGGTTGTGCTTAATTCTTATTAATCTTATGCTGTTTATTCACAAATATATATACATATATATTTTGTGTCATTACATAGATTTATTGGCAAAAGTAGTACTAGGTTAGTTTTTTAATCACATTATTTTGGTTAATTATATTGTAAATTGTTTTAATGGTGAGATTGTTATTATTCATTTCAGGAGAATGAATTCAAATTTTGCATATCCATTACATACAGATCACTAGTTTAAAAAATTGATCCTTCCAAACCAAAACATATATATGGGAGTAGTTACACTATTAGTTTTTTTTTTTTTAATTAAAAAACTGAAACTATTAATAAACAAAAAATATATTAGTTCAGTACAAATATTCAAGGCAAATTTGTGTATTACAAGAAAATGTATCTATTAAGAAAAGCAAAAATGGTTAGAATTTAGTTTTAAATCGTCAGCTTAAAATTTGAGCCGAATTTTAGTAACAATGAGTCCAAATTTTGGAACTATATTTATTTTCCAACTTTATTATATAATACTTTAATTATGTATAACGATGTAGTCTCTAACATAAAAAGAAACTCGCGGCCCCGATGTTTATCAACAACCGTAGCGTCGCGACGATAGATGCCAAGGACTTGGATTTAAGCCATCTGCACGACGGTGTGCACGGAAGGCCAGTGTGTGCCAAATCCGTTCCGATCCGGTTGGAAGCCGTTGGGGCGTGGGAGGCATCGACAATCGGCATCGTGCATTCCGACGTGCGCTCTGCCAACTGCCCATCCTGCCCACGACCGACGCCGACGCCCGAGGCCCAAACATACTACCGCCCCGAACGAGATGAAAAGACTCGCTTGGGGTTCGTCATAATTAAATATGGATCCTCGTGTAACAATTTACCCAATATTATTATTATCATTATTTTATTATTATTATTAAAGAAAAGTAAGAGTATAAAGTGTTTTTTTATTTTTTTTTGAAAGATAAAAAAAGTGCTTTGGACCCATTAATAGTATTTTTAAAATATTTCAGATAACCAAAAGTTATTTGAGTAACTATAAAAACAGATAAAAATTAGTACTTAAAAAGTATTTTTATATTTAGCATTTAACTTCTTTTTTTTTTCTTTTCTAAAAATACTTATATTAACTCTACTGTGCACCAAAGTTTCCAGTCAAATTGTATTACCATGAAATTTATAAAACAAACATATATTCTAGCACCAAAATTTTAAAGTTACGGTAATTCTATGCAATTTATAGGTTTATATTTATTACACATGTTAATATTGTCCAAGTAGTAAATTAGTCTTTTAATGTCAACATGAGCATAGATCAACTAGTTAAGGTACCTATCTTCGACTAAACTGTCTGTGAGTTCAAATTCGTAGCTCCACATCTTAAAAAAAAATTTTAATGACATTTTTAGGTAATTGTTAGAAGTTATGGACTTTTTGGATTCATTTGGTAATATTTCATTGCTCATAAGCATTTGGTAGTTATTTATTCTTGTTTCTCATTTTAAGTAACGTACAAATTTTGGAAACAACAAAATCATGTTTCTGATATGGTTTCAATTTTCTTTCTTTACAAAAACATAATAAATATTAAAAATAAATGTAAGATAAAAACAGTTTTGAATATTTAATTTTAAAAATTAGTTTTCATATAAAAAAATTTACTTATTTTTTTAATTTAAAAATTTAAAGAAGGAAAAAGAAGAAATGTTTATGTTTTTTTTGTTCAGTAATAATAGAGAAATAACAAGAAACAATAAATAATTACCAAACACACTTTAGTTTCTATTTATTAAATAAGAAAAAAAAAAGAGAAACGAGAAAAATGAAACAATAATCGGAAAAGTTACAAAATGAACACTTAATTTCTCAAGGCAAGAAATTCAGGGCTTGTATTTGAATTTTGAAAAAAATATATAATAGTTGTGTAAGAGCTACTGTCCCGAAAGTATATAATTGAGGATTTGTCCTATAAAGTACTAATAATTATAAAATTTACAACCCGTCGAAGAATAGAATAATAGGAAGAGTTATCGTAATGACAGATGGGTGGGAGTTTGAACAAACGACCTTTTGGTCGAAGATAGACTCAGGTTCGCACTATGACTAAACATATATTTTGCTACATTATCAAATTGTCACGACTTTTAATATACATATATAGTGAGAGTTTGAACACACGATCTTTTGGTTGGAAATGCATGCCTTAACCAATTGAACTAGATTACGATATATAAATATTTATTTGCCACTTTATCATTCTGCAGTCACAAAATATATGTTTCATAAAATCTGTTTTAGGCTCGAAGATGTCTCAAAGCCAACCTCTTACCTAATAGAATTGATAAATATTTCACAATAGAACCCAAAATTAATATTAAATAAATTGAAAGCCTAAAATAATAAAAATAGCAAAGACATACAGATAATTATGTTAAATTTTAATGTTTCAGAAAAATCTGTAACTATTTTTTGCATCCATTTCAGCCAAAATTTGATTCGGAAAATATATTTTCTACATTTGTAGAAACGTGTTAATCAAACATGAACTAAAAGTCTATTTCCCTTTTTTCTTTTTATTTTTAAAAATTTTTTAAAAGTCTTTTTATTCCATTTATTGATCATATTTTTGAGTAAAATATAGTTTTTGGTTCCTAAGATTTAAAGTTAGTGTTCGTTTGACTGCTGAAGTTTTAAAAGGGACATTTTAATATTTGAAGTTTGAAAAATGGTTCAAAATAATCAATGAGCTCATTTGACTCGAGAAAATGACGTGACAGTTAATTGGGTGATTAGATTATGTTGTTTGACATTTTTAAATGAGTGGACAAAAAAATTAGAATAACATATCTTCACTAATGGAATATCGCTATTACACTATTAGAATTATCACTTTTAGTGACTTCACTAAAATTCTTAAAATGTCGCTATTTACTTTTATTGACGAAAACAACTTCGCCGCCGGGACGAGGTTCGCTAGATAAGAGTATCTGTAGAACTATGACAACGTAGACAGGGAATGTTGTGAGAATTAGCGACGTTTTTGGTAGCAACAAAAACACAAGTGTTGCAAAAATTTTAACATTTTCACCCTTTCATTGCAATTTCTGCAGCAGTAATCAATTACGTCACAAACTAATTTCAACTTAAACCTGTTTTGTTGCTAAAGCTACATTTACATCTTCCTTCTGGCAGCATACATGTATTTTGTTGCCAACATGTTCCAAGACCTCTCAACGGATTGTCCGTGAAATTAGTCTAAGTACACGTAAATTGGCCCGAACACTCATAGACTAAAAACAAATGTTCCAAGACCCCTCCCCACCGTTCCATGTATATCAATTATTTGATATTGAGACTTATTTTTCTCATTATTAAATCTACGTTGAGTTGAGTTTGTAAAGAGTACAAACAAAATCCCATATTGACGAAGAAAGAAAGTGATCCATGATATATAAAACAGCACAATTATCTTTATTGGTATGAGATATTTTGGATGAAACCAAAAGCAAAGTCACGTACAATATCATACTATCATGGAGATACTAATAATATAGAGATTTTTTCATAAATTTACTGCTAAATCTAAAAAATTCAAAATTTTTCTTATATCCAATGCAAGTTGGCAAAGTTTAAAAGTATAGGTTAATAAGATTTTATGTCACTGAAACGAGATAAAATAAAACCATCTAAACAATCGAAAATATTCAAAATTAAGAACATATAGTGGCTAGCTTCGGTGGAAATCATCTCCAACGTCTACGGGAAAATTGACAAAATAAGCCTCTGCAGGGGCCTTTTAAGTTTTTTAATCGCCCTTTGCCAAATGACCTCCAATGCCCCTCCTTACTTTGGATACCAAATTTTAGTTTTCCCTCCTCCCCTTCTTGGGGCCTAATATACCAAATTTTTATTTTCCCTCCTCCCTTACTTGAAAACGCTTCATTTCTCTCTCATTATTTTTTTCCCTTGTTTTGCTTCTCTCATCTACAGGCAACTCTCGATGCTTAAACTCCAGCATCTATTGGTCTTCCATTTCTCTCTCACTATTAGGGTTGTTTTGCTTTTGTCATCTACATGCCACTGACTGTCGATGCTCAAACTTCATTATCCATCGGTCTTTGTTTTGAAATGTTTCGTTGGGCTTGTTCGCATATAAGTTATTTATTTGTTTGTTTACTGGGTTGTTGATTTTTAGACGTGGAGGGAGAGAAGCTGACAGACAGGGCGTGAAGGCAAGAAGAAGGAGATCGTTAGCGCGTTAAATGGATATGGATAGCTACTTGGAGTATGTTATAGATCGAGATCGTTCATTAGCGAGAGGGAGATCAAAAGCGTTCATGAGCGAGAGCGAGATCTGATCGAGATCGAGAGCGTGCATGAGCTTGATCGAGAGCGTACAGCGAGAGCGTGCATGAGCTTGATCGTGATCGAGATCGAGAGCGTACATCTAGAGCGTGCATGAGCTTGATCGTGATCGAGATCGAGAGCGTACATTTAGAGCGTGCATGGGCTTGATCGAGAGCGTGCATGAACGAGAGCGAGAGAGATGAAAAGACGTGAAATTTAATTCTTTCAATTGTTGGTTGATGTTCTTTAAATTAAAGGCTGCATCTATTTATTTTTTTTATACTTATTCAATTTCAGTCTATTGAGAATAAACGGGTGTAGTGGAAAATAGCAGCGAGAGTGCAAAACAGATAACGAAAAAGATCGTGAATAAGCTTGAACGAGAATGAGCTTGAACGAAAATGAGACGTCATCATGAACGATTAACAGCACCATATAAGTGGATATATAATAATGTGGAAGAAATAGTAATAAGTAAGCGACCGTGATGACAATAAGGATAAATAAATTTTAGAAGTACAACGAAAATCAACGAAAATTATCACGAACGAGAATGAACGTGTAAGAGAAAGAAGACTGTAGGATATTGAGAAAGAAAGCAGTAACAACAAAAATAATAATTGATTCATTAAAGTAGCAAACAGGGGCTCCATCCATCCATCCCATTACAAAAAGTTTTTTTTAGTAGCTTAAACAAAACAACCACCATAAGCTACTACTATTGGGATTTTAAAAATTATTATTATTATTACGGTATCGACGTAGACGGGTCAGTGATACAACACATCCCATTACCCTATGCCCATTACTGCACTGTGTTTCACCAAACATATCTGCTCTCGTGAGTGCAGGAAGCTGCTGCCATTCTATATTTCATTATGAGGAAGCTCGGTAGTCGACCGCACCTGTGCGTTCATAAGTTTTCTGTCCTGGACCCACTACAAATGGTAAGATAGGTAGTTCATTCATACACGCATAATATTTGTGTTTCGACGAATCTAATGTTGATTGCGTTGTGTGTGTGATGTTGCTGTTATGCAGCAAGTTATTGCCGCAGCAGGTGGTCCCTACGCACGAATCAAGGGGAAGGTCGTCTAGGACACGAGCAATGCTTGGGACGAGTATAAGGAGTGCATGGATGTCGTGCTGGGTCACGTGGAAGATTTCATTCCATCCTGGGTGGACGTCGACGTAGTGTACAGCCCGCTCTGTATCAGGGATCACTGGGTTCTGGTTGYGATAGATATGACCCAGTCCGAGATTTTTGTATACGACCCATTGCCAGGCCACATTTCCACGTCGAAGTTGATGACAGACATACGGCCGTTGAGTCATACAATACCATCGCTTTTGTACGCATGTGGGCTGATGGATACGACCGATTGCAAGCTGAAGAAGACTTCGTGGCGTGTATACCATCCTACGACCGACACGAGGCAGAAAGGTAGTATAGACTGTGGTATTTTTGCATGTAAATTTTTGGAATATCTTGTGTCGGGTAATAGTTTAGAAACTCTTGTTCAGGCTGAAGTGTCGCACATTAGAAGGCAGTATGCGACACAACTTTGGCATAATGAACCTTACTTTGAATGAACCCAATTTTTTTTCCATTGCACCTTAGAAGCTCGCTCTCGATGTAAATCGCTCTCGATGTTATCCACTCTCGATCTCGATCTTACTCGATCTAACCCGAACTAACTCGATCAAAATCGCCCTCGATGTTATCCACTCTCAATCTCGATTTTACTCGATCTAACTCGAACTAACTCGATCAAAATCGCTCTCGATGTTATCCACTCTCAATCTCGATCTTACTCGATCTAACCCGAACTAACGCGATCAAAATCGCTCTCGATGTTATTCACTCTCGATCTCGATTTAACTCGATCTAACCCTCTCGCTAACTCGATCAAAATCGTTCTCGATGTTATTCACTCTCGATCTCGATTTAACTCGATATCGAAGTAAATCGTTATCGCTCTCAATCTAACTCGATCCCGATCTGACATGATCTCGATTTCGTTATGTCCCCTCTCGACGCGCGCTTTCTCGATATTGTCGTTACAGCGCATGATCACGATCATTCTCGCTCTCGATATCGTTTTTTATTCACAGTCGCTTCTACTTCTTTTCTTTTCACACACGTCGTCAGATGCATTTAATGCGATGTGGCTTATTGAACTGCATGACAGAGTGTAATGGTAACATGTCATTCACCAATCCACTCGCATTCATTTTATTTTATTTTGTCAGACAATTTTCCCAATATGAAAAAAAAAATCGTTCTCATTAACCCATGTCTCCCCCCCTCCCCCCACTGCCTAGCATTAAGTTCATCTTCTTCTTCTTCTCCTCCTCCTTGCTCGGTTGTTGAAGCATCAGAAGGACATTCATTGCATTACACTTCCTTATCACACTGTAAGCACTCTCTCACAACCTTTAATGTGTATTCACGTGTTAAATTAACTATTCTGATGATTAATACATCAGACTTTTCCCAACATTCCCTGTCATGTTTTTTTTTTAACTATCCCACACTCATTGAACTAGACAGGTACGTTTTAAATAGATACCGTTTGAGGACTCTGTGGCCTACATGTTTTGTTCGATAATCTAAAATGCATGTATGTATTTGTCCCCTTCTAATGCAGGATGGAGATTGGTAAAAGTTTATTCATAAGATTTGGTGGTACGTGGGAAGACAACACAAATTCGTATGTCGGCAGTGAGCTGAAAGGAATAATTGTCCCACTTACAATAACGTACAAAGAACTGAAAAATCGGTTGTACAGAGTGATGAAAGTCGACCAGAATGGTACGACCTGGTAATTAGGGTACCGTACCACTTGGCATGCGATTCACTGCCAATGTTCGTAACGGATGACGATGACCTCCGATTTGCATTAGTCCAAGAACAGGTCTCTAAAGTCCCACTGTTTGTATCGACCGTCCTTCGCGAAAGCATTAACATACAGTCATCTAGATTAAACCAAGATGGAGAGCAGTCCATTTCCAATGGAGGATCTGTACCGGAAGAAGGTTCCACGGGGGTAGATGAGTGGGGGTTGAACGACGTATACATGCAGGACATGTACAGTTCAGACTGTATATACACTCAAAACTCGGAATTGGTCGCCCCCGCGACACGCATGCCTCCCGTAATGCACGTCCCATCAGATGAGATAAATAATACAGCACAAGTACACCATGCAAGTCCTCGTACGGTACATGTATTCCTATTTGATGAATTAAATAATACATCACAAGTACAACATGCAAGTCCTTTGACAGACCATGTTTTCCCATCAGTAAAACCCTCATCCAGTGACCCTGGTAATGTTGGTGATCACCAAATACGAGTACCTCAATCCCCAAGCACCGTGACTATAGAACTGGCCACAAGGTACAACCTTTTACCAGGCGGATCGGAACTGCACGTGGGGAAGATATTCGTTTCAAAGCAAAACCTGCGTATGGTGCTGTCAAATGCAGCGATGCGATTTAACCGTGAATACAAGGTCAGCAGGTCAACGAAATCAAAGTTCGCTGTTCGCTGCATCGACAATACATGCAATTGGAGGGTTGCGGCCCAATCCATCGGTAAATCTTCGATATTTTGTATATCAAAGTATGTAGATGCACATACCTGCACGATTGACACTGTGAACCACGACCACAAACAGGCGAGCAGCTGGGTCGTAGCGAATCTTATTAAGGATAGAGTTGCTGGAACCGGTCGTATTTACAAGATAAAGCATATTAAGGAGGATGTCCGTAAAGAGTTCGGGATGAACATAAGTTATGACAAGGCCCATTGAGCACGAGAGTTAGCATACGCTATTGTTAGGGGCAGACCGGAGGACTCCTACATGCATCTCCATGCGTACGGTGAAGCGATAAAAATAGAGAATCCAGGTACTATTTTCCACCTCGAGACTGAAGGTTCG